AAGAGAGAGAGAGAATTTTAATATTTGTTTTTTAGTTTTCGGCAGTCACAACATCTTTGTAAGTGGTGCTGGGCCACAGGTATGCCAGGCGAGCGTGCTACCGCTTGAGCCACATGCCCAGCCCCAAATCCCTGCTTCTTAGAGTCATTCCTTGCAAATAATTCAAGTGTTGATTAGAAATGCCCATGACTAAGAAAGTAAAGTCAGTAACCTATTTTTCAGTGTCATATTCATACCTACTATGAAGATTATAATAAATTTTAAAATGCAATATCAGGGATAAAGAAGAGCAGATGGTTGTAAGAGTAGTATCATTTTATGCAAATGGCCAATGTAGTGTCAAAGTTTTCATAAGTGACACTAAAGATAATCTAGTCTAAACCCAAGCTATACCTTTATTGAAATTGTAATTTTCTTGGATCACTTCAAGAAGAATTATATCCAGAACAATTTTATCTGTCACTGAATAGGAGTTAACATCAGACCAAAAAAATCAAAACAAAGGAAATCTCTTATCTTCAAAATATTTACTATATTTCTTTACTGCCAGTATTGCAACTCATACATATATATGTATATGTATATACATATATACTTATGTTTACATATGTATTCTTAATTATGAATCTCAGAATGCCCAGATTACCACAGGCAACAAAAGCAAAAATAAACAAATGGTTTAACATGAAAATAAAAGTCTTCTGCAAAGCAAAGGGAAAAATTGAGACAGCCCACAGAATGGGGAACATATTTGCAAACCATAATTCTGATAAAAGGTTATAAAAAATATATGTGGAATTCAACTCAATAGCAAGAAAAAAATCTTAAAATGGCCAAAGGACCTGAACAAGACATTTCTCAGAAGAAGACATACCAATGTCTAGTAGGTATATGAAAAATGCTCAACATAAGTAATCATCAGAGAAGGGGTTTTTTTTTTTTTTTTTTTTTTGGTACTAGGGGTTAAACCCATGGGGGATCAGTCACTGATCCACATCCGCCACATCCGCAGTCTGTTTTATGTCTTTATTTAGAGACAAGGTCTTGCTAAATTGCTGAGGCTGGCTTTGAACTCGCAATCCTCCTTCCTCAGCCTCCTGAGCTGTTGGGATTACATGTGTATGCCATATGCCTGGCTAGTACAACTTTTATGGAAAACAGTATGGAGGTTCATTCAAAAATTAAAGGTTGAGCTGGAGTTGTATGTAGCTCAGTGTGGAGTACTTACCTACTATGTGTGAGGGACTGGGTTCTATCCTCAGTACCACATAAAAATAAATAAAGATATTGTGTCCATCTACGACTAAATAATTAAATAAAAACAAATAAAGGTAGAATTATCATATAATTAAGTAATCCCATTTCTGAATATACATATATGGGAGTTGAAATCAATGTGTCCAAGGAATATCTGCCCCTCTTAGCACCATTTGCAATAGCCAAGACATAGAATCCATCTAGGGGTCCATCAAGACACAAATGGATAAAGAAAAGGTGGTATGTAAGTATGTGCTAACATATACATAATGGAATACTATTCAGCTGCAAAAAGAAGGAAATCCTGTCATTTGCCACAACATCTCTGAATCTAGAGGATAATATCCTAGGTTAAATAAGCCAAAACCAGAAAGACAAATGTCTCAGGATCTCACTTATATATGGAATCCCATAAGTTGAACTCATAGAAATACCATTGAATAATTTGTCAGATCAGGCGGGCAGGCAGTGACCAGAGGAAGCGGATTTAAAAG